ATTTATTCACTTATTTATTCATTTATTTGTTCATTTATTTATTTATTCGCTTATGTATTTATCTATTCACTTTATTTATTCATTCATTTATTTATTTATTCAATAGTCAATGACTTATTCATTGATTTATTTGTTTGTTTATGTATTTATTCACTTATTATTTATTCACTTGTTTATTTGCTTATTTTTATTTAATGATGTATTTATGCATTATTTACCTACATTTATTTATGTATGTATTTATTTATTTGCTTTTTATTAAATTTTTACTTAATTTTATTTATTTACTAAGTTTTTAATTAAATAATGTATTTATTTATTTATTTATTGTTTATTTTATTCATTTATTTATTTGTTTGTTTATGTATTTATAAATTTATTGACTTATTTATTTATTTTCTTTCTATTTATTTATTTATCTACTTTTTTACTCAATTTTTTTTATTTATTTACTTATTTTTATACTTAGTCACATATTTATATATTTACTTATTTATTTATTTGCTTATTTTTTATTTATTTATGAATTTATTTATTTAGTTTTCTTAATTTATTTATTCATTTATTTCTTCATTCATTCATTTATTTATTAATTTGATTTATTTACTTCTTTTTCATTTTCCTTCTTTTCTTATTTATTCCCTTATTCATTCATTCATTTTTTTAGCTGATGTCAGATAATATTCAGTTCTTGTGTGTAAATAAAGCTCTTGTTCCAGTCTGAGCGAGTTTGATCAATCTTTCCATTGTCATTTTGAAATATGACCATGAGATTCATCTTCCAACATGGTTGTTTGTGCTATAAAAGGCTACACATGGTGTCAGTTACAAAAAGATGTTTGTTGTCATACATATAATATGCTCATAAAGATGATTGGCAGAACTGTATTATCAAAAAACAGTATTAGCAAGTTCATTATAAAAGATCTCTATTTCAGATCAGTGCTGTTCTTTTGAACATTTTTGTTGGTGATATCCATCAAAGAGTCCTAGAAGATAAACACTCTCACACTTCATTAAGCAGCACAAGCATTTGCCCAGAAAAATCAGCACATTAGAATCATTTCTGAAGGACCATTTGACACTGAAGACTGGGTTAATGCCTGTGGAAAATTCAGCTTTGCCAACAAAAATTCAAGAAAATAGAAATAGAAAACCATTCTGTCCAATTAAATTTTTCAATATTGCTGTCTTTGCCATCTAGGTTCAACTGATTGGCTGAAGAAATACTATTATTCTTCTCATTATTTTTTACAGAAAAGCTCAACCATATGTTACACTATCGATACAAGCAGAGGCGATTTTAGGATATTCATTTTTGGGTATTTTTTATTAATTAATTGAATTTTATATATATATATATATATATATATATATATATATATATATATATATATATATATATATATATATATATATATATATATATATATATATATATATATATATATATATATATATATATATATATATATATATATATATATATATATATATATATATATATATATATATATAT